GTCACGAATACACTTCGTACATTGACTAATCAAATACAAAAGTATGAAGAACCGAAGTGCTAATATTAGTAAAAACTGAATTTTTTTAACGAGCATTCCTAGCAATTAAGTCTGCCTTCTCATTTTTCTCCCTGAGGCAATACAAACAGAGCATTTTTTCATTCCAAAACAAACAGAGCATTTTAGCAAAAAAACAATAAAAGAGAGCATATGTTTTAAAGAAACTTAATCAGATAGAGCAAGTAGTTACCAGCGTTTGGTTTTCCGATGAGTCTGAGCTCAACCGTGGTAGCTCCGACGAGTCCGACTTCAATCGTTGTGGCTCCGACGAGTCCGACTTCAAAGATTGTAGCTCCGATGAGTACGATATCAATGGTGGTGGCTCCAAATTTCTCTGTGCAGCACTCACTTGTTTCTTTTTGGTTTGATTTTGTCTCCTCTCCTTCTTTGCTTTCTTATTGGTCATTGTTGCAGGCCGGCCTGAGCACATTTCAATGAGGCTTGGACCCAAAAAGAAAATTAATTTATCATTATTTAAAAAATGCGTCTGTTTTATTTTTTCTTGCAAAATGAGGCCCAAATTTTTAAAAATTTAACTTTTAGCTTTGGTTTTTAGAAAATAAATAAAAACCCAACATTTTTATTTTTATTTTGTTTGGACCCCCAAATTTTCAGGACCGGCCAAACATTGTTGAAGAAGATAGAGAAGAAAAAAGCTTAATGGAAGTATCAAGATCTCTCTCTTAATTGCTCTCTAAGTTCAAGCAACATACAAGAAATTTAAAACAATTCCACTCTTAAAAAAACTTGCAGATTCACTCTCATTGGTTAAAGCCATTGCGCTAACGGCCAAAACAGAAACAAAGCTCCAAACCGACGCCGTTTTCTCGTAATCTTCAAGGCCAAAACAGTTTTTTTTTTTCTGGGTCAAAACAAGGTTCAAACTGGATAAGACCAATTTCCTTTTAACAATAAAACTCGAGATTAACTTTTAATTTAATTAATTGAGTTTCGAACAAAAAACATATACAGTATATATTCATTTTTAAATATTTGAATTAAATGATCATCCTAGTTTTACTCAGTGATCATGCATATAATCCTTGATAACAAGGGAAACTATGTTATTGTGTAGACTGAAAAATTTACCACTGTTTATTTATGTTCATTGTGAAGTTTCTTTTGTATTTGGTGGTGTTTGTATATATTTGTCTTAAAATTATAATGTTATCATTGAATGATCTAGCAAATATATTTCATCGGGCTTTGTTGTAGTTTAGACCTATTTCGTGCCCCATTTGATTGACGATATTAACGACAATTGATGATGTTTTAAATAGTCAAACATTTTATTATTAGTATATCCAACCAAATACATCTTGGATATGCTTAAAAACAACAATGTAATTACTAATTACAAAAATTTGTTACACAACAAACTTTTGATATATACATTATATATAGATATGCGTTTGTGTGTGTGACACGAATTTTTCCTTCTTTAAGTATCTTGAATTTTATCCATATATATTCTTCTTCTAAGTTTTCTTCAACAACTTCACAATGTGTTTGATGGTAGTCATGAACTCTTTCTCTTTCTCCGGAACAACCGATTGATATGCATTCTCCTTCCATGCTCTATAGAAAAATGATTCTTTCTCAACAAAAATGGTAGCTTTGTTAGTGTTGTACGATCCATTCTTGAGAGAATCTGAGATTTCGTTAAGTAGCGATTCGGATTTCACCAAAGAACTCAACTCTCCTTTCATATCACCATTTGATGATTGCTTCTTCATCGTTTTCAACTCTCCGAGCAGATTCTTCGCCTTCTCAATCTCCTTTAGAAGATGGTCTTTTGACTCTCCTTTCATGAGTTGTACTTCTTCTTCTGCTTTCAACTTATCCAAAGTTTCGGGTTTTACATCGTGGAGTTTCACTAGATGCACGTCTCGCGCTGCAGCCTCATCGATGAAGTACAATGCAATGACTAGAGTCACAATAAGACCAGAGAGTATGGAAATTTTCTTTGCCATTGTACTCTGTTTAGAATTAAGACAAATTAACTTCTTGCTTCAAAAATATGAGAGGATTGAAACTTCTTCCGGTGCTAGGCCTTTAAAGGAAAAAATGTTATCTAAAAGTAGAAGGTACA